TTCCACCCCACGTCCTCCTGTGTGTGGTTGGTGACTTCCAGGGAACTATGCTAACGTTAGAGAAGGCTAAAAGTCAGCCAGTTCACTCAAAAACCATCATGAAGATTGCTCCAAGTGTTGTGCCAGGCACTAAGATCCTGGCTCAATAATCACTGGCCTTGCTTGGTCATCACACTGTCTGTGGATGAGGAGGAAGAGAAAACAGGCAGAAGTCTGGTTACAAACTGCCTGCTGTGGCCCATACCAAAGAGAGTCCTTCTGCTAACCAACACCTAAAGGCTGAGATCTGCTCCCAGTAGGTCTGTTTCCTTTGTCTCCCGCTCCTTACCTCAGGAGATTTGCAGGTGGGCCCAAATGGCCAGAGTAACTGTCTTGAGGTACAAACTGAAACAACTGCACGGGTTCCTGCTATCAGTAAAGAGTGCAACAGTTTCTCATTTGTGCAGAAACATATCTAAATTAAATGCAGAGCTGCTAATGAAACAATAATATTTACTACACACTTCACTACCTTGTCATAGTTAAACATAATTGAGTTGTGTTCCAGTTCTACCTGGAAGCATCCTGTGAAGAGCAAGGGCACAGAGCAGCCACAGAGGCTCTGCAATTCTCTCTGGCAAGTGGTAATTAAATAAATGTTGGGGACCTTTTCTGAACAGGCAGATAACCATAGCCCCCGCCCTCCAGAAAATAAGATCAATGGCACAATTTGTTGCAATCCTAGAATGATGTGCACTGAGAAGGAGACCTTAATATATCAGGATGAAGGCAGAATAAAGATTTCAGTCCTTGTCCTGGGAATGTCTAGCGCTGTGCCAAGAAGTTCTGACCCTTCTTGATCCATCTGATCAGAATGCTGAATTAAATCAACTGGGGCTTAGCAGTTCCTTGCGATTTATGAAAGAAAGAATATGGTATGAGAGGAAAGAGACTTTTTCAGTGATTACTTGCAGTTAGATCTGATTATGCTTAACAGTGACACAGTTGATGATGCTGGTCTAAAACTAGGCTGCCCCAATTCTACCCTCTCTGTGCCTTCAGCAGTGTGTGCTCTGTCCCTTGCACCAGCAATTAGTTATAAAACTATTGAGTTCCTTGAACCAATATGATAATCTGTGAATTATCATCAACTGCTGCTTAATTACAAGATCACTAATTGAGTATTTTAGTTTTCTTATGCTCCCCAAAAGGTAGCTTGTTCACTGTGACAGATATCCTAAGAAAAATGCTTCCCTGCCAAAAAACCCTGCTGGAAGTATAAGGCCTGTCACCTGGCCAAACAACCCAATAAAACTTTTTTCTCTGCTGTTGGTGGCTAAATGAGGAAGCCAGAGTGTTCTTATTTCCAAGTCTTGTATGAAAAGCAAAGAGACTTAATTTAAAGACATCTTGTTCAGTCAGAAACATCTAAATGGTCATTGATTGTTTTTCCTTAGTTGGATTTGTGAGTCTCTCTAAAAGCAGAAACTCTTATTGTGCTGTGTCCCTGTTGCTAGACAGGCTACAGGCTTTGTGTCAACATTACTAGAATAAAATTTACGAGTTTGAAGCCTAAACTCTCACACTCCCAAGAACCAGGAGAACTGACACTCAATTGAGACGAAGTTTAGGCCCACTTTGCTCAGTTAGAAACATCTGCAAGGGCCCTGGAGAAGAATCAGCCCAGAAAATATCCTCACATATGGACATTTCACAATAGCTGCATAGATTAGCTGCAGAGACCTGTAAAAGCCTCTTCTACTTTTATGGGCAGAAAAACATAATTATGCCAACATCTTGGGAAGGCTGAAACCTAGACATCACTTAATTTACTTTTTTCTTCCCCCATATCACAGCAAAAATAATAGGCAGCCACTTCATGAGTCACTTGTTTATCTTGGTGTCTTTGAAGCATGGATGCTATCAAAGACATTAAACATGTTTTCTGAAGCAGGAAAACATTAAATAACCTAAGACATTTAGCAACCTCTAGTGATACCAAAAAAGATGATACATTATCACTCATATAACTTGATCTTTTCACATGGGTTTCCACCAGATTGCACCTAAACTCTGCTAAAATCACAGACTTATTCCAGATCTGTACTACTTTGAGAGCTGAAGTCAATTCACATGCTATACCTCTGCTTCCACTCTCACACCCAGCAGGAGATGTCAGACATGCCTGGCACCCAGAGGCTGCCACTGTTACATTGTCAGGCCTCCAAAAGACAGATGGGACCAATACAATGGCTACTCCAGCACACGTGGCTACTTCATGCCAATGCCATCCTGGGGTGCATTAGTAGAGTGCATCCAGCAGGTAGAGGAAGGTTTTCCTCTCCCTCTACTCAGCCCTACTGAGACCCCACCTGGAGTGTTGTGTCCAGTTTTGGGCCTCCCAGTTCAAGAGGGACAGGGATTTATTTGAGAGAGTCCAACAGAAGTTACGAGGATGATTAAGGCCTGGAACATCTGTCTGATGAGGAAAGGCTGAGAGACCTGGGGCTGTTTTGTCTGGAGAAGACTGAGATGGGATCTTATTAATGTCATCAACTCTGGGGGGGGTCTAGTACTTTCAGTGAAGAATTAAACTTTTTCCTGGCACTCCTACATACATTTCTAAGTTAGGGACCCACCTCACACCACAGACACAAGGCAGAAATGCAACATGTAAATGCCTTTAAGCAGCTCTCCGCACAACCACCTCTGTTCTTAAATCCACACAAGGTGTCAAACCAGCCTTTACCCAGGAGCCTTAGACAATCCTTTTACTATTTGAAAACCTTGCAGACCCCAAACCTGGAGTGATGTGCTTACAGGCAGAAATTATGAGGATGTACAGAGCTCTATTCAGCAGAATTCTCCCAGTATCTGGTGCTTAGCCAGGTAAGAGTTACTCCTGCCTATCAGAGAGGTGATAAAGGCATATGTCCCCAAGACCAGGGGACAGAATCATGCTGAAGAGCAGCAGAACCATCATCAGTAGAAGCAAGCTTCAGCTGGAGATATGAAGAACTCAATACAACCCATTTCCACCTGAACTAGGTAACATGCTCCCAAAAGTGGGTATCATGAACTTAGTCTCAAGGGAGCAGTGCTCTTCAGTATTGACCAATGCTGCATACCCTCAAGTGAAGAAAACTGCTACATACCTTCTTCTGGCTACAAAAGGAGGTGTTTATACAGCTCCTTTGCTCAGTACTTGGCCCTGCATAGTACTGAAAATTATTCTAATGAAGATGGAGTTACTGTTTTTCAATAAAAGCACAAGTAGCTGTAAAAGGTCAATAAGATTTACTCCAGGGTTGGCATAGAGATCATTTGTTTTTGAAAGGACAAAGGTATTGTGTCTATAAAATACAGCTACTGATCAACGGCACTACCTGTTTATCAGGTATTCCTTGGCACTTCCATAATTTCTCCATGCAAAAAGACTTGAGCTTCACTTACTCAACATGAGCAGCAGAAGCTCAGAAATAATCACCACTTATTGCTGAAATATTCCAGAAAGTATTTCTAAAACAGTCTATCAATCAGCTTCTTGCTCTTGATGAGCCATTTCAAATGTCAAAATGTTGGGTGACATTTTTTAATAATATCTACAAAAATGTAATGTTATGAAAGATTTAACTCCATTTCTTCCATTGTGGCCTTTGAATCAGAATAATGGAAATGAAGGCCTAAGAAGTACTTTCAAAAATATATTTTTGCTTTTTCTAGTTGCTTTACTTCTTTTATAGTTTCTATATCTATAAGCATTTTCTAGGTGACCTACAGATCATCACAGGGCAAATCTCACAGAAAGATTGCATTTATTAATGACCTTTTACTCATTCCTTTGAAGTAATTCCAAACCCTGCAGTGTCTGCACAGGCTGAAAATGCCTGATGCATCACAGCTATCTCTGCATTCAAGGACACCATGACCATCACCCCATGCCATAAGCGCATTCTAGAATTCCATCATAACATTTAGGTGCCTAGGTAGAACATTTCAAATCTGACAGCAGATATAGACAAGAAAAATCTTGAAGAGAAAACTGTTTAATAAAGTCTTCAGTGGTTTGTAGAAAGAATCCTGTGAAAATGCTCATTTAACATAATGTCACATCATTGTTTACGGGCCAGGAAAAGTTAGTATCACAAACAGTCACACCAAAACTTCACTGGAGTCCAGTGAATCACAGCTTTTCTATTTACCATTTTCTTGTCTTATATTCGCCTATCAGGCCCACTGGGCTTGGTGAATTATACTTGCTTCCTAAGAAACCACACACCAGCCAATAACAACCCTTTTGACCTCTCTCATCACCACCCGAGATTTTCAAAGCATGTCACAAGCATCAGAAGTCACTGTATTGTGTCACTATCACTTATTTGTGGACAGGGAACACAAAACTCAGGTATTTAAGGGTCTACCTAATTTCAGTTACCACCTATTAAAAGTCTGATTTTAACTATAGTCGGATTTCTGCCTTACTGCACCACTAAGAGTCACAGAGCAATTCAACAGGAGAAACAGAAATAGAACACAGCTGTCCCAGTTCCGAGACCCCATTCTAACCAAATGACTATGTGGTCTCCCAGCTTGGTGCTTATAAAAATACACCAGTCACTGTAGTTTGCATCTGTAAACCATTCGCTAACTGCTTTTAAATGTATTGGGCTCAGCTGAAAAGGCCCAGGGAAAGGGAGCGACAGAATACTTTGTGCCTCACAGCCTCCTCAACAGAAGCAGGTACCAAACAACTCAAGGAACTTCTACTCCAGTGCTTTGTGTTCATTCACACAGCTTCCCTTGGGATGCACAGAGTGTGCCAGCTGGGCAGAGGTCAAGAGGAAGCCAGGAGAAGATCCCAGAAGCCATTTCTAAAAGCCAGTGCTACTCCTAGCATTTTGGAGTACACCTCACTGGTCAGGTATGTGCCTTTATAGTCCCACAAGGCATGACAGCCAATATTTGGCCTACAGAACAGCTTTAATTATAATCTCTGCCCCCAAAAGGCAGCTGAATACCCAATGATTCTTAGTTCATGCTGTTTTCTTGTAAACAAACCCATTAAGCACCACTGGAAAAGTCTATTGTTATTACAATGACTAAAAGTTATAAAGATGCAAATTACATAAAGGTCTTTATTGCTATGCAGCTAATAGTATAATATGAAAATCATGTTACCTGAATAACTGGTTGTGGGGATCTTCTTCCTCCTCTTCCATGTCTCTCTGTTGTGCATCCAACTTCATCTAAATGACTATGAATGCTGGGCAGGGGAACAGTTCTAAGCTGAGTACTCTATGAACTTCCCTCATATTAACCAGGTAATTCACTCAACCCTCCAAAGAAGGGACTCACTGACCTGTTGTGCTCAATGCAATGTGCACACCTCAACACTGTATTAGATCTCTGGTGGCTTCTGTGGTTAGCCAAGTACAAGCTGTAGCACTTCCCAGTTGATTTCTAACCACTAATCCATACCTTTGATATAGTGAAGGATTTTGGATTTTAAGGAACAGCTTTCAGTTTCACTGGTGGCATTAGTAATAGGAGCAAGTGATAGAAATAAAAAGCCCTTAACTATTCTCTTTGCACATGCTTTGCAGACACAGCAGGACTAATGGACAGTACCAGAAACTGTAAACTGTATCACTACTGTTTGCTAAGACCCTCACATAATGGTCCATGCTGGAAACAAAGAGCAAGAACTGCAGTTGTTTTCATCCTGCTGGACCAGCTTTCTTGTAAGCCCATCCTTACAATGGAGGAGAAATCCCTACCAGGATAAAATTACTGTCTCCTTTCTTGCAAGCCTTTTTGGAACGCCAAAGCAAAGCTTACAAATCAACTGTAACCTAGCTCTGATTAGCTTAATTATGAGCTACAGCTACCAAAACTCTTGAAATCTCAATACTTATGCCCAACATGACTGACATGATTATTCCATCTTCTCACTCAACCATTTCACATACCTATTGGTCTGTGTACATATGTATGACAGGTGTAGGCACATGTAGGTGTATTTAAATACAACCACACTTTACTCTCACTCTCTTGGGATGGACAACTTTCAGTTTTACTCTGTATAGTACTTACCCACAATGGGGTTCTGATCTTCACTGTTGCTGTGCTCCACGACTCTTAAAAACCAGTAGCCTAAGAGATAAAATGACTACTCTTACTGTAGGAAGTGTAGCCATGGTGAGGAAACTTAAGCCCTCAAAAAATTAGCTAAACAAATAACTTAGCAACTACTAAGAACAATAAAGCCACTAGAAAAAAACTCAAGAAAATAAGTTAGTTAGTAAAAACCACACACATAACACGTATGCCTGCACACAGAAACAACTGAGGGAACAGCACATGAACTAATTTATCTATTTCAACCAGACCAGCTGATATGACTGCTACCTGAAATTAACTTTGTTAGTAACACCAGTTCTCTGTTCAGTATTCCTCTCTACACCTGATTCCAGGTTGCACCTCCATCAAGAACAGCTGCTTTTCGCTGTTGTGTACAGGTGGTTACAAATGTAGCTGCTTTGCTGACGGCCTTGCCTCTGGTTCTGGCTCCTTGAAAGCAAATCACATGTATACTACACCCTTAAAGCAAGGCTTCAGCTCACTTTGCTGAATAATTTATACAAATATACAGCTGTATTTTACAGCAACTGAAAGTAACAATAAGAAATAAAATTCTTTAATTTTAAATGCTGCTATAGACATGTCTGAGTTTCAAGAGAAACTGTTGTATAGTCAGCCACAAGGATCAGTTCTGGAACTTTTCATTCTGCTTTTACTCAATTTTATTTGTGCTCCCACTGTGGTCTCTGAGCCCCAGCCACTGGACATGAATTATGTATGTCAAGCCTTCAAGAGCTCCTGAGCCTTGTACCTTTGACATCTGAGCAACCAAGGACTGGCAGGTGGGATTTTCAACTACGCTCCATGCTGATTGCTCCCAGTGAACTTTACAGGAGAACTAACTGCAAGCTGAGGATTGGAGACTTTAAAAACAAGCCAGCACATTCAGATACTTTGGGTCCAACACAAAATCTCTTGTCAACTCTCCTCTCACAGATTTGCTCCCTTTCACACCAAATTATGACTTCTTTATCCCAATTAGGATGTGTTAGCAGCAAGTGTAAAGAAACAGAGGAAACCAATTAGCATGCCACTCTTCTAATTGCTATGGGAAGTAGTGATCTCCTATTTATAAACCTCCAACTAACTTTGCAAGCTCCCTGACAGCAAGACTCAGACTTACAGCTTCAAAGGAAGTTGGATGTCCACCCTTTCAATCATTCCAAATCAAATTTCCCTGAATGTCTTCTTCCTACATGAAACTCACTCCAGCTTAAAAACAGTACTTTGGCCAGGTATACTGAGCCTTAAATTTGCTTTGTCCAATGACTAATTCCCTATTGGAAGTGAACAAGAATCTCCTGAGTGCTGTTGTTAGTAGCTGTAAAAAAACAATAAGCTGGGCACCTGGGCTGAATAGGGTCTTGCTTGTTTAATGAAGTAACGTTATTAGGTTTGAAAGATCCTGGGCTGTGCCTGAAACAAGAGACAAGGCACAATTATACTCTTTCTGAAGATAGCCACTTTCTTCCCAAATCACAGGGTTCTCTTAACTAGAAAACTATAGAAATGACCCTGCATAAACATTGCAGAGATAATTACAAAATAAAGAAACATTACAGTGAATCCATTGAGATCTTTAATTCTAAACTGCCACCATGCCAGAAAGAACAAACTGTGAGTTAGACTGACTCTTAAGTATACAATTAAGCCTGCCAAGTTCTGACTCCATAATATGCTGTTTAATATTGAAAATTGTCAGTAAACCAGTATGTGGGATTAATGTAAAAATGCTTTGGTTTTGCTTCCTCATGAAACTATAAAACAATTTAGCTGATATAAGCAACATGTTATTTCTGCTCTTTTTGGCAACAGTTTCCTGCTATGTGGGATACTCCCCCGTCTGTCTAATGCAATAGCCTTCTCTGGCCTTTACGGACTTAAATTGGTGAGGGGAGCTGTGGGCATTCCATGTGGAATTTACTCAGTAATTCTATTAAGAGCTTCTCTGCGCAGAAATTAATGTTCTCATCTCATTCAATACTTGTCCTATTCATTACTCAAAACAGAAGACCTAATCTCTCTCTATATTACATTTCCTCAAAGGATTTTTTATTAGTTTAAAGGAATCCAAAAGCTTAAGCTTCAACACTTCTGTGTTTGCAAAACTATAAAACTCTGGGTCGTACAGTTAGAGCAAAAGGTTTTGCCATTTCTGGAATTTTTGATTATTCAAATCAAGAGGAAGAGAAGCAGGAAATACACCTCTCACAAAAATACAGCAGGTCCTCCTTGTAGGG